GTTGATCTGTAAATGTAAACACAAGGGTATTTTTCTTTGCTGATCTGTAATTACTTGCTAGCATAAWGAATTAGTATGTGTGAGGGAAAAACACAATTGAATTACTGGGATTGTAGTAGTCCTGTAGTGTGTTTGTGTTGTCTTAATCATCACAAAGGCAGAGGTTGGTCTGTGAACTGAATTTTTCATTTTATATGTAGGGCTTTCAGTCTGCTCTGTGTACAAAGCACTATCCCACTGTATACTTGGTCACTGCCAGTAATATTCTACGGAAACCCCAAGGGTACAGAATACTTTCTTTTCCTTTGTTTACTGCTATCTTTTTTTTTTTTTTTTTTTAAATTAAATTAGCATTGAGGCCTTTTGAAAACACAAATGAAAATTTTGAGATAAATAAGTAGCTCTCCTTTAGCTGAAACACTAATGCTGCCCAGTGCCTCTAAAACAACTATAAAAGTACTCAAATACTTGCAAATGTCTGGCAGCAGATGTGTTGCTGATGTTTCTTGCTTTTTAGAAGCTGTGTGTGTTGCTTAACCTTTTGCATATTTATCCAAAAAGGGAAAACACAAACTTCAGTGGCACCTCTGCAGCTATTTTAAAAAGCATCTGTAAAAAGCCAGGCTGTGTCCTTGTACTGCAGGCACAGGTGTGAGTTAGAGGGGCTACAATATCTGTGAAAACCATAGTGGTTCCAGTGCAGCAGTGAGCTGGTGCTCACTTTGGAACCCTGTTATACTGCTGGAGTGCTTCAGAGAAAAGCAGGTTGGGAAGAGAAGCAGGGCCTGAATCTTCACCCTATGCAAGCACAGCTGTTACAGCTGTCTGTGTGTGCAGGAAAACTGGCAGAGTCGGTGTAACTTCTGTGTCTGTGTAACTTTGGGGCAGAGATTGGCAAGCATTTCTTTCAGCAGCAGTGCCACACCTGATGCTGCCCATGTCCTTGCTTGTGCTACTGCAGCTGTTCACGTGGCAATTGGGTGGCTTAGGTCAGAGAGCTTGATTCAGGTGGAAAACAATCCAGGGTGAAACTTTTCTCCCCATTTTTTTCTGCTCTCTGATGTAGTGTATTGCATAGTTTTGACAAGGTAAGGGAAGCTGTGGTGAGAGAACAGAAACAAGACCCTGAATTAAGCTGGCACTGCCTCTGAAAGAACCAGTTGTTGAACTAGAGCCCTGAAAACRAATGGAGTAAGATTTCCTCAAGTAAAAATGATGGCATTTTTTTTTGAGTTTTATTTCCCGTGATCTGTGCTATCATTCAGACTGAACTATAATCAGTGCACATTCTGCTTTGCTCAGTGCTGGGAAGTCACTTGGGTACAGTGATTATGTTGGGGGTGGGTACCTATAAATGTTATCCACACGCTAAAGTCATGTTATGCTGGAGCTCTCGTCTTCGAAAACCTCACCTAAATCTTGGAAAGCTGGCTTGGGCTTTTGGCACCCCATACATGTGAAGGGGTTGAAGGAAAGGAAATCATAAATCTGAATGATGTAGYTGTTTAGATACACCCCTGACTTGAGTATGTAGTCAGCGTAGGTGCTGTTTCTGAGTTCATGAGTTCCGTGTGATCCATATGTTGCATTCCCAGAAAATATCAGTCCATTGCTTTACTGGCAGTACCCCAATAGTTGGCCTTGTGGCTTCTGCAATGGTTTTGGTGGGCCTGCTGCCTTTCCTGCTGTGACCATGGAGGGACTGGGTTGTTAGCTCAGTGCATTTGCTTTAAAATATTTGTGCTCCTTATAGCGGGGGACAAGAACTGGCTGATGGAGGCAGTTCTTAAGGGCAGTGTACAGAGTGGAAGAGATCGGACTTTCCATGGTGTCTTTATCTGGCTGGGTGCTTAGGCTGCTACCCCACRTATCCACAGAGATATCCCACAGATACTGGAAAGACAGCAGCATTGCTCCTCACAACCAAAGGAGATGTTTCTAAAAGCAGGTATCCACTTCATGGTGGGCGAAAGACTGAGTTATTTGTAGGTACAAAGCCTGCAGCTGCATGTCATGTTCATTCTAGCACTGAGTTGGAGCTTTCTTGACTTATATTCAGTGTCATTAAAACCAATTCCCTCTTGAACAGTTTGGAAAGGATTCTGAATGGGGTTCTGTGTGTAGACATGTTCTCATGCCTSTCCTAACTGCATGGATTTGGTTGTAGGAGTTGTTGGACTCCAGCACTTCACTTCCATTGATTTCACACAGTCTATGGATCCTGGAGTTTYTAAACACAATGAAGATTAGAAATTACTCAAAGGAAATAATAGCATGTCTTCACTGTGAATGCATTATGCAYAATTTTATTACGTTTATGTTAAAATAAGTTGAGATGTATTTTATTTTATTTACACTATTTTCAGGCTGTTTTCCTTTTGCCTAAATGAAACAATTTTGATGCTCTTGCTTGTCTGGCTGGCCGTAAACCAGGTATTTAAACAAAAATAAAGAGTTGCCAGTTTTGCCAGCTGGGGATGAGAACCCGGCTGGTGATATGYGGGTTTGGGAGGCAGTTAATCCAGCTTTTATGCTTTTTTATGATTTTATGTAAAAAGAGGTTAAAAATCACATTTGGCTCTTTCTTTGTACCACTGTTTTGTTGCTGTTGTGGGAATGCAGCAAAAGGTTGTTCATACTTTTTATTATYATTAGGTAAAGTCCTGCATAAATTACGTAAAGCTGCAAATTGTATTTGCTTTAGCTATTGGCCGTGTGATTTGCCTTGTGCAGAGAACAGTATGTTTTATTTTCCTGTTGCTTTCTTTTATAAACCACACATGCAATCCACACCTAAATTACTTGTAAGAAGAACCTACCACTGTCTCACAATTTTATGTGTTTTGCTAGCTTCAAAAGGAAAGTGTAACTGTACAGATAAATAGTAACCACGCTAATAAATATAGCAGAAAAATCTATAATGCACTTATTCTGTGGCAGAAGAAGCAGTGATTTAAAGACAAGCATCACAGATTTCATATACAGTTTTTCAGCAAATAGCTTGCAATATGCTCCAACTCATAAAACATTTAATTAATTTAAAAATGCAGGAGTTATTTTAGTTAGTTTTGTCATATGTACTTATTCAGATAATTTGTTGTATTTTACACTTTCCAAAATTTCACCCTCTATTTGGAAATATCAATGATGTAATGAGTCTGTTTGTTTTGGCACAGTTGTAAATCATATGTGTTAATGTGTTAATATTTATGATTTTTTAATCTTATATACACAAGAGGGATTTTTAATATATTTCTTTTCATCGTGTTTCCGCTACTAATCCTTAAGGACTAGTGAAAACTAGGAATATGAATGCATTAATTACTGTGGGATTTCCAAAATTGCCATACTGGATCAGGCTGYGTGTTGCTGCTGCTAATAGCATGCACCAGATAATTCAGAGCAGGCTTGGGTTTGCTGGGGRAGCAAAAGGAGAGGCAGATAAAGGAGCTCAACTCCCCTCATCAGGGCTGTCCAGGCTGTAGAGTGTTTATCCACAGCCACTTAGTGTCCCCTTAGGTGCACGAGGACTGTCCCTGCCCTTGCTTCAGGGGAAATTACACATTTTAGACAATCACAWGATAATCTATGGATAAAATTAATTCTCATCTTTTAGAGGTTGCCTTATTACTTAAAGATTGAAAGCTTTGCTTTCACTCCCATGTATCTAAATAACTGCTCCCTGTATGTTTGCTTACAGTTAGAATCTGGATGAGCTCTTTATGATGGTGGTTGCWTGTGGCTATGTGTTGTAAAAAGTATTTTGTTTTCTGGGGATTAGTTTGTTTTTCTTTTTTTWAAAAATCAGTCATAGGGTTCTGCCTTTCAGAATCTGCCTTCCAGCGATACAGTAACAATTCTCTGTAAATAATTATTTACATTCTTTACAAATGTAGTTTTACTCTACTAGTTGCATTTCTTTGATCTTTCTGTTTATTATTTCAGTCTAATTTCTTGTTTTAAGTTTTTTTGATAGCTCTTTCTGCAGTACATACTGGCTATTCAACACACACAGTCATACTGCCTTCTGTTKTAATTTTAATTGACTTCTGTTCCATCTTTTTTGTATGAAGAGGCATGATCTACTAGAAATTCATGGAAATTGGAATTATCTATTCAGTAACTTTTAATTTCCTTATTGCTTGTGAAATATTTTTGGGTGAATGCTGTTGTTACGTTGTCTCCATGTCTGCAATTTATTATGAAGGTGTATTAAGTTCAAGACATGCTGCTTAAATTTCTTATTCCGGTTCTCTGGGGCTGCTAGGAGAAGGCTATGGAATAGGTTGTTTTAAGTACACAACATTGGTGACATAATGTTAACAAATTGTGTGAACTTTACCACTTTCTGTGTTTATATAGTATCCTATAAGCATGGTTTCATATTAAACATACTATTGTATAAATACTGCCAATTTTTTTTTTTTTTGCATTGGCACATTTCAGCTGTTAGGACTATTTAATGGAATGTAATGAAATTACTTGGAGAAATGCATTGAGGACTTKTGATGTAAACAAAGATCATAAAGAAACAAAACTTGTCTTAGTAAGACTAAGCTGGTTCTAAATTGGGGACTTWTAGACAGTTGTGAGGCAAAAGAGAGGGGAACTAATTGAGCAAAGGGATGCTTCACCACTCCTAAACAAGGTATTAATGCCCATGTAGTACCTGCAGATGAGCCTCTTCCTAAAGCTGTGGATGGTATAAATGGCCTTGTAGAGGACATAGGAAAGAGTAAAGAGCAGTCTTGATCGGAGCAGGTCACTGTCAACGTTTTGTGTTGCTTTTAGCAGTGCAGTGCCTGGTAAGGCTGGAATTTCAGTGAGCTCGGGTGTGTGAGTCAGTGCTGCAGTTTTGAGTCAGGTTCTGTGAGTTCTTGTAGCACAGTGTGAAAACAAAGTCTGAGAAACACATTCCTATAGAGATGCATGGCACAGACTGAAATGATGGCATATGAATGATGTGTGTGKCTCACAGATGCTTTTGGTTTCTGTCTCAGGTGTTAGAAGATAATGACTACGGTCGTGCAGTGGACTGGTGGGGATTAGGAGTTGTCATGTATGAGATGATGTGCGGAAGATTACCCTTCTACAACCAAGATCATGAGAAACTATTTGAACTGATACTAATGGAGGACATTAAATTTCCTCGGACTCTATCTGCAGATGCAAAATCATTGCTATCAGGCCTGCTGATAAAGGATCCAAATAAGCGGTAAGTGAAATTAATTGGTTATGCAGGCATAATAAATACTCTAATTGTGCTCTGTAATGTAAAAATAGGTCTGCATGCCTGCTCTTCCTGGCTGAAGGAGCTGTCAGTCACAAGAAAGGGTCATACACAGCCATACAGTCTCAGATTTTTTTCAGCCCAGTGGTGATTTACAAAATAAATTAAACAAGCGAAAGGAAAAAAAGCATGTGGAAGACAAACTTTTAAAATCCTTCACAGCAAACAAGATATCTCTTCAGGCTGACAGTGTGTACTGGAACAAAGGGGAGGTTCTCAGTTGTTTTTCCCAGTATGACTTACCCTGAKTTAACTGTAGTCTCATGGGGACTGTAGCTCTTGTTCTGGTGGTCAGGGCAGGAGACATGAATAAACAGCTATGTTTATTAAGGCACATAATAAATCACATATTAGACCTTTAAACTAGTAATTTGTTAAAGAATACAGCTGGAGTAAAATTTAAAGGGAGTGGTTTGAAAGCAAGTATCACCCAGCTGCTGTGCCCTTTTGTGGTGGGCTTTTGCCTCTGGCACTGTTACCTAGGAGAGCCATTTTCCAGTGGCTCCAGCACTGGACCAGCAGTGTCCAGTCCTCTGGCTCTAAAACAATCTCTGTAAATCAGTGGGATTTGTCTGTAGGTAACATTTTTCCCCCCAGTACCTTTGTCATTCATGTCATTCAACATTCTCGTCAGCTCTTGGCATGTTTTTGGGCTGCAGACATTGTCTGCCTCTCTTCTCTCATCCTCCTTCAGGCTCTGGCTGTTCTCAGGAAGTTTTGAGTGGTGGGCATTGCCCACAGGCGCTCGGGGCAGGACTGGTTGTTGTGTTCTCCTGGATGCAGCCAAGTGCAGCAGYCAGGACAGCACAGAGGGTCAGTTTGTCTGCTCCACCTGAACTTCCTGTATCAGGAAAAGCAAACTCTGACCAGCCAGCCAAATACAGGAAGGGTAGAGTAAAACTTTGTTTCTGTAGAAACACCTGATGCTTTTTAACCTCCAAACAATCTGGCCCATCAAGTATATTAACCTTTAGAATTGGAAAGATGTTTCCTTGTAATTAATCTTTGCAGACAGTAGTGTTTGTTACAGACTTACATGTAGAAGCTTATTTATATTCAAGTTCTTGTGCTAGCTAATGCTAAATAGGGGAGGAACACAGAGATTAACACAACTCAGATTTTTTTATGAGCAGTTTGAAGATGTTGAGAGAAGTCTGGAGTTTGAAGGCTAACTGCCTTGTTTTGCCAAGATGTAGAGAATTTTACAATGAGTAGTTGAGAAACAARGAGGAATACAGCTTGGAAATTAGAATAACTTTACACTCAGTTATTGCAAGACTGACGTAGTAGTCCAGAGTATTTTTGTAATTTGGCAGCAGGGTAATACCAAACCAGACTTTTTTCCTCAGTTGTGGAAATGCATTCCTCTCTACAGCATTTATTGTGAGSAGGAATAATCTTACTTAAATGCTTGCCTTTAAAATTTGTCTTTATATCTTTAGCAGTTTCTTTTAATGAAACACACACCATTTTTGTCACTCTCCTTGTTAACATCTATCACATATGGTCTGCTTATTTAGTTGAGATTAACTTTTTTTTTCTGCTGCAGCTTCCTTCTGTTAGGGCAGTAGGATCCTCAGTCTCAGGGTGAAGTCAGATGAGAGCTGAGCAGTCCTGAAAGTGGATGTGCTGTTAAGGGTAGAGGATCCCATCATTGGATGTGTGGYTCTTTCTTCACCAACAGCAGCAGCTCAAGGGAGCTCACTAAAGTTGTTGAGTCAAAGTGGACTTGCTAATGCTACAAAAAATGGCCAGTTCTCTTTTTTTCTCATGGGAGGGTTAGCTTTTCTCCAGATGAGTGAGCTGACTCTGCTCATGGTCATCAAGTGGGAGTGGTGCTATAGATGCAAGTGAGAGAGCACAGGTATGGGGAGGACACTCCTCTTTTGGAAGCAGTGAGCACTTCTGTGAGCTCAAATCACCTTGGGCAAGTTCACCCAAAACAGGTGAAATCCACGTCCTAAGATGGCTTACCAAACACAGGCTTTGGCAAGCTATGGGCCACAGTGAGTGCTGTGGTTATTTACAATGGCCTTTAAACAAYCTTCTCAGCAGGCCTACAATTTATTAATTTATACTAATTGACTCAGATTGAGACTATTTTATGGTAATTGGTTAATTGTTACAGCACCCAGATGCAACAGCAGTGAACACTGTATAAAAATGATGCACGAGTCATTACTGATTCAGTGCCTGGCACGTCCTTGGCAAAATTCTATATCAGCAATATTGGGTAGGTTTGTGTTTTTAATAGTGCCAGGACATTAGCTGGTCTTTCAAGCAAACTGAACTAAGTATGTTTTTAAACTCAATGAATTACTAAAAAAGCTCATCATGGACAGTAACGAACACCTGTAGACYATGGCATGGATACTTCCACTGTCACATCTTCTGTTGAGATCACCAGAATTCATATTAAACAGGTGAAAATCACATATTAATTGGGTGAGAATTGTTCCCAGATAGTCACAAATCAATGGTCACTTTTCCAACCATTACAATAACTTGATCTTCCTATAAAAGTTAATTATGTGTCTTTTTTCCCCCACTCTCTTTAGACTTGGTGGTGGCCCAGATGATGCAAAGGAAATCATGCGTCATAGTTTCTTTGCTGGAGTAAACTGGCAAGATGTATATGATAAAAAGGTATGTCTTTATATGGCACTGAATAATCTGGCTTCTGCAAGGTGGTTTAGACTGATAATCATAGACTGCTGTTGTCTGGAGTTAGTAATTTTTTTCTTAGCAACTTTTTTTTTGTTGATACAAATGAAAAATTATTCTGAACACAGTGTACTTACCTAGTCTTTGGGTTTTCGTTAATAWTTTGTCAGTTCACTAGAAATAAATTTTGCGATCAACCTAAACTCAGCACTTTATTATGTAAATGTCCAAGTTTTTTCCTTTTCTTTTTTCTTCCTGGGCTTTCAAGAGAAAAGTAGATTATGACTTAAGATAATGTGAAAAAWGTAATGTAAGTTTATCCTGAATTGTCATTTTATTTCTGCCTTTTATTGAAAAGTTGTTTTATGAAAAAGGGAAATTAGGTGATCATAAAGAACTCGTAGCAAAAATCTACTTTCTGATTGTTTTTGTATGAGTAGAAACCTCTTTCAAACTTAGTTTAAAGACATATTTAAGAAAAGTAAAAGTGTGGTAAAACACAGAGCCAGAACAGCTTGTGGAGAAAGCGAGTACTCGGAATTCAACTGGAACAGTTTTCTCCAAAGCCAGTCCTGTTCCTGTAATGATCAACACTTTAGGAATGATTTTACAAAATGAATTTTCTTACTTGGGGGTAAACTCAATTCAACTTAAGTTGTTTTATTTACAAAAACTGATTTTATCTCAGTATTTCTGTAAGAATTTACTCGTTGCTATAAACCCCTTCTATTTTGATAAAGACTTCTCTTTTTTCCCCAACTGTTTTACATTGTTAATCTGCCAGTTGAACTGCGTAATTTTAAGAGAGTTTTTCATACTTTTTTTTTTTTTGTCGTTGTTCAAATAAAAGGAAAATGGAAGACATACGACTGAGCAGAATATGTTTATGCTACAATGTCAATGATACAAACTGTTTTTTCAGTTGTTGTGGAACTGGAAATTTTACAATTGTGTGGTTGTTGGTGTAGTAACTTCTCTGACAAATACCGGAATTGAAATAAAAGCCTGTATATGATAATACAAAAKATGGTATTCTGAAGTTACTTGATACAAGTGTGGTTTTTCCCTGGCAGTATCAYAAGGTTTCAAGAAACTCTACAATAATCAGAGCAAGTGTATTAATCAGGACACTTTATGAGCTCAACCACTAGTTGGTTGTGTAAGGACATTGTAGAGCAGCACTTTGAGGATAAAATCTAAAAATACAATTTGAGGACCTTTTCAGAGTAAAAAAAACCCACTAAAATCAATAGGATTGCAATGTGCTAGGAGTGGGCGAGAAAAAAAAAAAGCTGTTACATTATTCTTGCTCTCTTGAAAAAGATTTCTTAATTATCTTACATCAGAAATAGAACTTTCAATTCTACACTGTGTTCGGCATCTTATTTAGTTAAGAATATATAGATACTCCTAATTGCTTGTGCTTTGATTGTTTCCAAATGAACATAGCAAATGTCTTTCAGTCAAGATATTTTTCTGAGATATTAAAATAAAAGGAGGCATTTTGCAGATTAAAAAAATATTATATAGTTATATAAAAATATATAAGTGCTGACGCTTTGCTTTTATGTTCTGGAAGTGGTTGTGGCTTATTGGAGCATTATAACTAGAGAAATTCTAGTAATTCTTTTTTACTCTGGCCACTGTTGCTTTGAGAAACTAAATTTGCCAGTTAAACATCAACTGAATTTCCTCAGTTGAACAGTCAACTTTCAGGATCGTAGGAATTTCTCTTATGCAGTATTGGCACACAGTGTGTCCCTTATAGAAAAATAACTCATGAAAATGAGGTATGTATTCTGATAGTGTGYTTTTCTGTTTAATTAGAAATAGTTTTCTTCCTAATTGTTCCTTACAAAGCCATTTGTCTGCTGGTTAAAATATCCAGTTGTTCCTTCTGCACACACAGTCTTACACTCWGCAGGCTTCAGAGCTGTGCTCTGAAATATAATCTTCAAACATAATAATAAGGTTAATGAACTTCCATCAGGTGTGTTCATTATAATGCTTAGATGAACATTTTGAGGTATTTTGATACTCTAAAATAACTCAGGGCATCAAATAAATTAGATTTTTAAATAGGTTTATTCTATGCTTGTTTCTGTTGCTGTTTTTTGTAGGATGTAGAGTCTTCAGCAGTAGTCACTTGATGAAATTGATAGTGGACATAACTATTTTCATAGTAAAAATATTTCACAGTAATTTTGCCTCAGTTTTATGCATCATGGCAGTGTAATTTTCTGGCTGCCTTTCAGGAGTGAATTTCTGTTAGCAATGRAAGAACTTAAGTTCACTTTTTGAGTAATGGAAACAAAAAAAAATCATGTATATTCTCAGTAGTTGCTGAATTATTTTGTACATGTGCAYGCTGTGCTCCTGTGCCTCTAATTTTATCATTTTACTAGGTTATCACTTTACTGGTGTGATCACAAACAGAATTATATATCTGTAAACTATTTCATGTATTTCATGTGGCACACCACAGCTCTGTCAGGTCAAATGGATCCAAATGGTCAAATGGAATTACTGGGTTTCTGATACTGCTAGCCAGTTAACCTTATTTGGTGCTACATAATGATAAAAAATATTGTGCGGCACACTGGAGCAGAGAAGGTCGTTGCCTTTAAATGAAAAATGTATAGTAGTTAGCATTTGTGATCTGATGTATTTATTTTTGGCAGAAAAACCATGAGGACATATGAAAGAGAGCAGCCTGTGCCAGGTTCTTCCTGTGATCCTCTCAGCCCTGATGAGTTTTTATCTCTGTGCCTGAGTATGAGAAATTGAATAGTTTGGCAAACTCTGAAGACTTCAAAAGCCCATGTACTAAATAAAAGATTTGTTTTATTTTTAATTAGAATCAGGAAGCTTTTTGAAATTTCTCTGTTTCTCTTATGAAGAATTGCTTTAGCATATTTTTATTTGGATGGCAGAAATACACTAAAGATTTTCTATTTAGGGTCTTTCACTGAACAAAAAGCACATGAACATTATTTAAAAGGTAGAAATTCGGGTGTGTCTKCAGGCTTGAAGCTTGAAGCACTTGGTAGCCTTATGGCAAAGGAGGTCCAGACTTTTAGAGAGGCCTGGTTTTTCTCCTGGATATAATATGGATGAAAGAAGAGAGAAACCATGTGGGAATTTGGGCTGAGATACATGTTCTGATTTGTGGTAGTACCTCCAATTGTTCCTGAAGAAAATTAGGGAGTGCCAGCAAATGGATTTGTTAAGGCTGGGCAGGAGCAGGGWGCAGGGGCAGWAATGGCTGAAGCTCTGGGGTTTGGCTTTGCTGCAGGAGGAGATTTTTGGGGTTCCTGTCCCAGGGCGGAGGCAATGGCTCGAAGCATCAAGCCTGGTAGCTACAAGAGGCTGCTCCTTGCCCTGCAGCCGGGGCTGCCTCAGTTTACTCAAGACACAAAACCAGCACATGATGAAATCCCCCTGTGGAAGTCCTGGGGTCAGGCTTGGCAAAACCTGCAGCATAAGTATRATCTTAAATGAATGTTTAAGTGGTTCTGTGTATCAGATTTTGAAGAAAAAGGGTGGGAGTGATATAGGAAAATACCTCCATTTGGTTTTAGGTTGTTACYATTTGAATCATTCTATTTTTGTACAATTTATCTGCAGTGCCATAAAACCTGCAGAGACTACCCTTGCTGCTTRCTTTTGTGTTGTTGCCATGTGAAGCTGAAAAAGATCAGACAACATCTAACCAGTCTTGATACTTTCATTGTGTTTCCACCGATACTTAAAATACATGGGCAGACCTGGAGGCTGATTACCACCCTTCCCCCAGCTGCTTGAATTTACAGGGAGGAAAACACACAAAGGGTGTCTGATCGTTAAATTTATGTTGCTGTAGTCCTGGGGGTTTGTGGTTTCTCCCTGCCCATGCTGACAGCATTGTGCCACTTAGAAAGCAGTTCATCCGTGGGTAAAGCTCCCTGTTGGGACCTGCTTTCCTGTGGACTTGTGTTCTATGTCCTTCCGCCCCTGAAATGGCAGCTCTTCCTCCTCCCCCTGCCTAGGACCACCACATGCAGAGTCTGTATTGGTATTCCCAATTCCAGCTGTGCTGTGGCTGCTGGCTGGGAGCAACCTGCCTGCTTTAGGGCCAGGCTTGGGGAGCCGGTCCCTACAGGAATGCTTATTGAATGGCTTGAAACTCAACTACCCTCTTTCCTCCCGGTGGAAACTCTGGTTTGAGGGGCATGGACAAGTATTCCTCCCTTCTATTCAGCACAATTCAGCACAATTCTTCTGTTCAGCACAATTCAGCTGCAGTCCCATCAGGGTGATGGGATTCTTATGGTACTGGAATRGTCTGAAGTTGTGTCAGGGGGAGCTTTAGGTTGAATATTAGGGAAAGGTTTATCACCCAGAGGGTGGCTGGGCATTGGTTCCCCTGGGAAGTGGTCACAGCACCAAGCCTGACAGAGCTCAGGAAGCATTTGGACAATGCTGTCAGGCACAGGGTGTGACTCTGGGGATGGAATTGTGCAGGGCTGGGAGTTGTAAATGATGATCCTTGTGGGTCCCTTCCAACTCAGCTTATTTTGTGATGCTGTGAAAATTCCCTTTAAATTAAAAGGAGAAGGAAGATCAGACTGATGTTCTTTTCATTTGGCAGATTGAATGCATCACAATTACTTTGAAGTCGCTTCAGCCRCTTCCTATACAACATCAGGACAAGTGATTCCTGGTGAACTACTTTTGAGCAATATTTTCTCTCATACTGAAATATCTGGTAATTGTTCACTAATTGTGAGAAAGTTAAGGCATAGAGTCAAACCTGTACATCTCAGTGTACCCATAACAGTCAAGTGCTGTACCTGCCCCTTTCCTTCCCCTGGGACATGAGTGTTAAATTTTCCAGGACTTGAACTGAGGAAAAAACGTGGTGTTTCTCACACACTGCTCTCAATGGAAGCCAAATGGAAATGCCATTCACTGGAGATAATGAAGACACTAAGAATTTGATATTGCTTCTGCTGTCATTTCTAWCATCAAGCCTTGGAAGTGGCCAGGGCAGACTCAGCTTGACAGATGGATATGAAATTGGATTTTTGTCTTGAACACAAACTCTTAAAGTCACTTAACTCACGCTGGGTTTAGACTTTTATTTCTTTATTTGTACAGACACATGCATATCTATGCATATGTGTGTGTGTAATGCATAAACCAAAAAAAAATCTGTATTTCTGGTCCTTAGAGTAGTTTGTCAGGAGGTGCAGATCCCTGTCTSGTTGAAGCATTTTTCTGAATTGAGGCTGCTAAAGGAAAAACCGTTATCCCATACTAAAGTTTGGCAGCCAGGACCAAACAGTGGGATTCTCTTGCAGACTGACAAGGCCTGTGCTTAACAAATGCTTCTCTTACTCCTTTTGGACAGAGGTTACTAGATGTGCCTTCTGGTGCTCACATCACTCTTGGACTTCTGATTTCTCAGGTCAGAAGTGGGGAATAGATGTGGCAATAGCACCTGGATACTGTTTCCTTGTGCACCAAGTGGGAAATGTCGCTGGCTGTAGAGTGGCATCTTCACATTGTGATCGTCAGAGCAGTTGTTGATGTTGGCTGTTTTAATCTTTGTCATTAAACCTCAGCTGCAATCTTCCTTGGGATGTATGGAGAAGCTTCTGGAGTGTCGATCTAAGTATTYCTCTCTGCAGCATTTGCACCTTGGTTATCTTTCTAATGTTTCATTACAGTTGAAATTTGTGGACATTTTGCTTTGTTTTTAAATKAAGTCTGTCAACTAATGGACAAAGGAGACACCCCTCCACAAAGATGATTGCCAGAAATTTAGTGCCTTTGTTGTCAGCTCAAGAATCTGGAGTGGGATGTCCCCAAGAGTTTAGCCCCAGTAGATTTAGGGTAGGTGGGGTAGAACCAAGGWGGGAAAGGAGCCATTCCCAGTTTTGTCTGTCCTCAGCTGTGCTGGTGGARGTGATGCTGTGAGGGAAGGAGGCAAAGTGTATGGAAAGAATTAAGGAACCTTTCTGCTACTCTCTGTTGAGCTGGATCTGTAATATCTRTAAACTTCTTGATCTCAGCTACTGTTTCCAGTTTTCCAAAGGTTTTAGGGGATGGTTGGTGTATAAAAGGACACAGCCTGGATAAAAACCAGTGTATGCTGTTGAGGGGAGCCACATGGCTGGAGAGTTTGTTTTTGCAGTCAGTGAAGTTTCCAATTGCCTCTAAAGTCCAGGATATGAAAGATACTTCTGTAAGATAGCTGAATCCTAAAACACCATTGACATCCGTTTGCATCAGGTCCCTCCCTTTTAGTAACAGTCTTGAGTTTCATGTCCTTTACTTGTTTCACTTCCCCAGACAGCTGAACTTCTGTCATCACTGAAATTTTCATCAGCTGACTTAYTGGATGTTGTTGATAAACAGTTTTCTAAGAAGCCTAGCTGCTGAGCATTTAATTGGAGCACCAACTTAAAGAATTTTGTTTTAAAGGTGCTTTTAACACCTGATTAAAATCATTATTGTAATTATTTGTTCCTTAAGAGTCATTTAGCACTGCACTTCTCTTCCTAAAATAATGTTTTTTAAGTATTTTCCGTAATTATTACTATTGCAGGTAGATGGAAAGACTAAGAGGTTATTTACAATCATAGTGAGGCTTGTTCAGTTCAGTTAAAAAAAAAAAAAAAGAAATAACAAACCCCTGGGTTAATCAGTAGTTTGCCCTTAAGTTTTTGAGAAAGAAACTTGTCATCAAATATATTTTCCTTTTCCTCTCCAGCAGCACATCCATACACTGCTACATATAATGCTCTTACCTTGCCATACCCTTTGTATTTCATTAACTGCTTAAACCTGAATCACAGTTGTTAAACTGTGAAGYGAGGGTTTGCTCCTTCTTTTTGCAAAGTGGTTGAAACATGAAAGGTCTCTGTTCTGCTTCACAGCAGGAATAGTTCTTTTCCACTGGAGATGTGTGCTGCACCACTGAAAAGATATTRCCTCTTGTCCTTGACTAGAGAGAGAAGAAAATTTTTCCTAAGATTGTATTTTCATTRTTTTCAAATGAAAAGTTTTTGGTTTTTCTTTTGTGAAATGGCATTTTCTGGTTTTGAYCTGTAAAAATTATTCCAATGAGGGAATTAGTAAAATTGTTATAAACTTGTTATCTTTTGGGTATTTTTCATACTGAATTTAATGCTGAGATGTGTGAAAGCAYCTTTTTGAAAGGATGTGATGGGCATTTGGCCTTGGCTAGAGTACATTAAATGGCTTTCTGTAATCTTGTGTGGGCTTTCTTTCGGATAGAAAAGTGACAATAAAATGGCAATGTGGGATGTTCCTCTGGAATAAGTTTGTTTTTAGGAATTGTGTGGCTGCGTTGCTGGAGAGATGTACATCTTTGGAAATCTGCTTTAGTAGTGCAGAATTGTTTGGGATAGCCCAGCACATAAAAATAATTTTCAAAAAGTGAAGGAATCTGTGCAATAAAATTTATAAACATTGGATATAAATTGATTAATAGCTTGAAGATTCTTCTGAAGTTGAGTTTATGTATCTTAGCACCTTAAGCATTAATTCTACAGTGCCCCAAACAGTTACTTCAAAATACATCTCTGCTGTTGTATGATTTCCATTCAAGGCAATGTAAGGGAAAGCTGAAATTAGTTTTGTAAAAACATTAATCAGGTTTATTGTACTCCATTAAGTATATAAAGTGATAGATTTGGCTTTGYTTARTAAYTGCTTGCACTKTTACWGAAGATCTGGATCAKATAAAAGAGGTCTCTTGGTRCGTACAGATCATGTACACCTATGGMTCCAGTCCASAGAACCTGGGGAAATGAGGGACTTYAGCAGCAGKTCCTCCTCCTTTGCTRTGGGGCAAATGAACAAGTTAATTGTTTGGTGTTAGTGTTCTGGAGTTGAGGAGAGAGAACATGAAACTAAAACCATGTGCAAGCTGATAATACCAGTGAGCCAGGGTATAACCTGTTGTGTTGAAAGGAAAATCAATTACACGCATTCCCAGGGTGTGTGTTTTACATTGCATATGAGGAGAGAGCACCAAAGGGCTCCAAGGTACAGACAAGGACACTGTCACACAATAAACATACACACACAAAATTTGCAGTGTCATACATATTAAACTGCTGATGGYTTTTGGGCTGGCAATGTGCAGTGGGATATTCCATACTCAGTATGCYTTCCAGTAAAAATTTATCAGCAGTTCTTGTGGTGGAGAAGGTGGGTAACAAGATTGGTTCAAAAGAGGGTCAAGGGAGTCCTGCCTGCAGCCTTTGAGTGGCTACTGGTGATTTGCTGTAGGAAATCCCACACTGTGCTGTGAAAGCAGTAGGCAGGTTTAGCTACAGCAGCTCCCTTAAGCCTGAACTGGCCTTTTTTCCAATATAAAATTTATTTTCACATCACGTAATTTCTTCTACAGGCAAGTTCAGATGAAGGCCTTACCACTGAAAAGAAAAACCCCAAACCATGCTTATTATGCTCTCTGTGTAGTGTTTTTTTTCTTAACTGTTTATACCACCCAGTTGTGGTGAAGTGTCTAGAGATGCCTTTGCCTGACAGCTATGTGGGTAATTAAATTGGCCTGAAGAGTTTCTAGGTAATTATCTTTATGCAGCTCAATTTATCTGCAAGTCATGTGAGAGTGATACTTGGAATTTAGCTGTGCAGTGCTATTAACTGGTTTCTGAACTGGTATTTTTGGGATTGACTCTAATGGCYTCTATCTCTTACTGGAAGTTAGAAACTCAGCTGCCTCTCCGCAGACCTATTGTTTGATCTGGGGTGTAGGGAAAAAGAACTTGCTTGTTTTCCTGTAGTAATTTGGCTGCTCTGATGTATAGTAATTCTSTTCTGTTTCTTGGTGCCTTTCAGCTTGTACCTCCTTTTAAACCTCAAGTGACATCTGAGACAGACACCAGGTATTTTGATGAAGAATTTACAGCTCAGACTATTACAATAACACCGCCTGAAAAATGTAAGTCAGAAATGATGCATAAGCATGAYATAACAATAATGTTTATAATAAAGCAGGGTGTAGGGCTTTTTCTGTTTGAATAGAAAAGCTRTTCTCACTGTTACTAATAAAAGTCTTTGTATGGAAGTGTGTAAGAGTAAMTCTCAATGACAGCTTTATTTTTAAAAAGCAATAATTACAAAGCTTAGAATATTAGATCATTCTGGGTTGGTGTTTGGGGGCATTTTTGATGTGGGCTTTTTGGTGTTGGTTTTGTTTGGGTTGTTTTAATTTGTTTGTTGGTTTGGGGTTTCGTTTGCTTGTTTTYAAATGAGAGAAGATGCCAGCTCTGAGTGTTCACTGGTTGGCAGTCAAGGTCCAAGTTCAATGAAGTGCTTGGGACATGGACCCTTGTTTAAACACGTGGACTGTGCTGATGGCTTCACTGGGCTGTCTAGCTTTAGTAACGCATATTCTGGAATACTTTGAAAAAAAACAATTACTTGAAAATTAAATTTCCTMTCAAGTCCTGTGCTTCAGGAGAGCTCTTAAAGACGGTGTTAGTATGGATGTAACCACGGCACTGGACCTTGCACAGTTTCCTTATTGGAGTGAATCTGATTTCAACAGTTTGTGGTTTTGCCTTCTTTTGTTRCACACAAGAATCATGGTCTGATCAGCCAAGCCGAGGCCTAGCAGTGACCAAGCCAGAGCAGTTAAAATCTGAGTTCTGAGTTCTTGAATGAATTTTCTTTCTAAATGGGAATATTGGGGAGTTTTGTTTGTTTGTTTMTATTGGAATTATTATACTGAGAAAACAAAAGTAGACAATAAAGGCTACATTTATGGCTCCTTAATGCCCTGTTATAAAGCAAACTCATTTTTTTGTGTTAGCTGCAGTTTTCTGTTCATATACAGATCTAGAATATTTTCTGAATTTTGCATTTTTAGTGTTTAAAAACAGTCATTGAAGCATAAAGTGATTTGGATTTGAAGGGACCTTAAAGTTCATCTATTTCCAATCCCCCTGCCTTGGGCAGRGGCACATTCCATTGGACCAGATTGCTCAAAGTCCATAATTTAGGTGATTTCAAGTCTTTCTGCTGTGAAAAATGAACCCTTCTTCCATCTATCTTGATAGGAATTTGTTCATATGTGTAACTTCAACAAATTTTACCAAAATTTGGATTAATTTGGGGGTCTGTTGATTTGATATTAGACCTGCATTAACTCTAATTTTTATGGGTAGAATATATGAAGATACAAAACACACAATTCTGAGAGGCTGGATATAAACACATCGTAAGAATAATGTTCTCAGTAGGAGTCTTTAAGAATAAGCACTGTTAAAAAATATCCACGTGAGAATGGATATCCAAATTCTCAGAGTTAGGTAACATCTGGTGCCTGCTTTCCATTGGCACTGGAGGAATTATGTAAACAAAAATATTTATGAATTTGGCTTATTCCATRTTTCTTATGAKACCAGTAAAAARTYATAGTAGTTTAAAAATAAGTASYTTACTAAAAATAAGTAGTTTAAAAATAAGTAGTTTACTAAAAATAATCTCTAAGAATTTAAACACATAGAACCTGTATGAATTGTTCATTTAGTAGCTGTTTTTCCTTTTAACTCCCTTTGAAATGGAGAAATATTAAAATATATCCACAGTAAGATTATRATTTCCTGAGCTCAGCTCAAGAAGCTATGGAACCTGGCTGCCTCAATCGACATTCAGTGAGGCCAGAGGCTGGGTGTGCTGGCATGTTTGGATTGGCCTAGAAGGGTGTTTGAAGGTCTCAGGTGACAGAATAAAATGAACCACCGTGAAATAAATGGTGACTTTTGGGAATGATGTCCTATCCAGTGAGTATCATCCTGCTGTGTGAGCTTGCGTGSTTAACTGAAGTCTTACTTTAACCTCAGCATTGAACCCTGAAAGTTGTACTGCTTATCAGGTGAATATAAAATTTTACTGCAAATATGCTGACGTTTTGAACTTCTTCCTTAACACAGATGACGAGGATGGTATGGACTGCATGGACAATGAGAGGCGGCCGCATTTCCCTCAGTTTTCCTACTCTGCAAGTGGACGAGAATAACTCCTTTGTTCTGCTGCTTCACTGTCATCTTAGGTTTATCACTGAAAACGATTCCTGAACATCACCACCAGTACTAGATAYTACTATGATAGCAGGGGCACTTTCAGAGACCATTCCAAATTGAACAAGTTTCTTTCCCAAACCTACCTAAAATCTGTTTTGGTTTTGCATGACGTATGAGACTCTCTCTACTCCGCTCTCCCACTGTTGCTGCTGCCCACAGTCTCAGTATAGCGACGTCAAGAAGTTACTAACAGTTTCTCTGAGGGTAGATGACTTGACTTCAGCATTGTACACTTTGTGAACAAGTAGTCATCTATTYTTCCTCACAGTGGAGGCTAAACAAAAGCCGTGTTGGTCCAGCTTATCTTCTTCCAGAAGATGAATCAAAATTGTAATTAGTCTAAACAGACTAGGCGATAACATTTTCTTGCATCTGTTTGTGCTGGTTAGAATGAGGAAACGTAAAGGTGGTGATGTACATATGCAAGGTTTCTGTTAGGCATATCATTACTTGAAGCAGGTCTCTGTCATTAACATCTGGCTGGAATTTGTTTGGGAAATGTTTGAGAGAAGGACTTAAACTGTTGATATATATAAATATATATATATATTATTTTTTAATTACTGTTGGATACTACAGAAGAAGCAGAAGGGCTGGGCTCACCCAGCCTGCCACTTAGAACTTCCAGGTTCATGTGCAATCATGGAGAATCGAACATTATACATGCAAGAAATGAAGGCATAAAAACAGCAGTTGAAGTTGTTCAAGGGGTCTTATAATTTGCACCAGATTACATCTTTCTCATGCTTTTCTCTTTCATGATATGCATCACCTCTGATGGCTGAAGAATGTAGRCAGGCATAATGGTATTGCTTTTCACCAAAATGTGTGCACCAAGGTAAACAGGTGTTTGCCTTACTTGTTTTTATTTTGAGTTTGTGAATTAGATTCTTCTCCAGGTGTTTAACTCTGAATATTTTTCTTTTTCTTTTTCTTTTCTTTTTTTTTTTTTTTTTTTTTTTTTTGTTTTTTTTTTTTTTTTTTTTTTTTTTTTTTTTTTTTTTTTTTTTTTTTTTTGTAGTATTTATTTTTAGAGATAAGGTTTGTATGTGTCATGTTTGCAAATGCTGCTACATCTTAGAACAGGCTTATAGCAGTTAATTTTGTAATATATGGAAGGACTGTACAAGCTGAAGGGAATAATGCACTTTTCTCCCATGTGGAAATTTTTAACAAGGCTCTGAAATTGTACATACTGCTTAGAACCAGATTTTTGTGAACGAAATACTCTCTTTTAACCATTTGGCAGTGGAGGTGGGGAATTCCAACCTCACGTGCCAAAGGGTTAAAAATGAACAGGCAAAAAAGCTACATCTTGTGCTCCATTTAGGCTAAACATAATGTAAGAGCCTGACAGCACAAGAGAAAATGTCTGTTCTATATGAAGGAATTGCTTTTGAACAACGAGACCACAGTAATTACAAGAAAAGCACTTTATTTTAACAATTAAAATAGTAAATTTCTGGGATCAGCTGTTCTCAAGGAAGAGTTGCCCTCAACCAAACAAGTCCCGAAACCCAGCAAGTTACACGTAACCGTGGTACCTGATTGACTGAATTTCAAACGTCACAATAAATGCTCCATCGATCGGGAAACGTCTTTCCATTTCCGAAGGTCTGTATTTAACAGAACATGTGCATAAACTTTAGCTTTGATCTTCAGCAATGATAATCTTAATAATAAACCCTTTGGTGCTAGGAGCTGGGGCGTGGCGTGGTGCGGTGACAGAGTGCGCAGCCTCGCAGGTGACATCGGGAAGCCCCGACTCCRTGGGATTATCATTGGAAGTATCTCTGCGTTCAGCTCTTGTTAGCTCCCACAAAGACTGTGATATTGCAGTGTGTTCCTGGTTGCGTTGTGTGAGTGAGTAGATGAGTCTGAGAGATGTTCCTACACAGATGCCTTAGCCTCTTGATGTGGAAAGTTGAGTGCCCAAGCATGAAGCCCACTGCTGGCAGTGCATGTGCTGGGATGGTCAAGGGGTAGATGGGCATTTTAGCAAGGCAGCTAAAGACGCAGAGTAATTTAGACAATTTTTCAGGTTTCGTGTTTTATCTTTAGTAGTGGATGGATAATCAGATAGAAATATATCATGATGTATATTCTAACTGCATAGGATTTCATTATGTCACCCTGTAACACTAAAGACATGTAGATGTTGTCCCTGTGCGGAGAGAGAGAGAGAGAGAGCAGCAAATGCGTTGCAGGTCTGTCCTGGACCAGTGGTGTAGAGGTGTCTACACTGACACAGTAGTGACTGAAATAACCAAGTACTTAACAGACGGGCATTAATTAGTTCTCTGCAAAGGTCTTGTGCTTACAGWCTGATACTATGGTGATTCAAAATCTGTGTTACATGCCTGTGTTTTCTCCCTATGTTTTCAGCTTGTATAGCAATAAGYTTCTTGGCACAGGGCCCCTCAGCCAGTGGCTGACTGGCCGGGGCTCTGGCCAGCAGCTCCTTGTGGCAGTGACACCCTGCGCTTTGCTCTCGTTGCGTAGCCCAGGTAGTGCACAGTTTGCAGGAAGGCTCTGTCAGTGAACTATTTGAAAACCTTTTAAGACATCATTTTGCATTGCTTTGTCTGCTTTCTGAAACATCAGTGATGGAGTTTRTGATGCAGAATCAGCAGCCACCTTGTGCTGCAGACTTGGGGGATTCTCTCTTACCAGTGTTAGAAACAGGTAACAGAGAAATGGACAAGCAGTGCTGAGAGAAACTTTTAAAGCTCTTCTTTTGCTGTCTGCATTTGTGGTTGGATTTGGACAGGAGGTGGTAGCTGGTTGTCTTGGTGAGCCTTTCGAGCACAGTACATTTCAGACCTTGGCTCCAGCTTGTACTGACTTCCATGTCATACAGTATGCCCTCTTGTACTGCAGCCATCTCAGAGGAAATAGGTCATTTCTGTTTGGATTTTGGCAGTTTTGCACACAGCTTCGCTTTCCACACTATTCCATCTTCCAGTACATTCCTGTTGCTAAAAGAACATTTATTCCAGTATTGTTTTACCTTTTTTCCCATCTTTACTTGCGGCTTCTTAAAGCTGACTGTTCTTGCAGGGGCCATGTGCTTCTCCTAGAGTACAAAAGTAAGGTCTTTCCTTACTAACTGCAGGGTCTATATATTACACCTCAATGTACACACTTTGCTGCTACTGTTTGTACTGTCTACAGTAGAATTTCCTTATCTTGCTCCTGGTAGTGCATTACAGGCAAGCATGAAATGTAAAGTATTTATTTAAATAAAAACCTCTAAATTGGTAATTGAATTACCTCCCTGTAGCTTTAGAGTTTGTGACATTTCTTGACCTTGCTAGTTCTTTCATTAGATCCATGCAAGATCTAGTCATATGGTTAAGGATATTAAGCAGACACGACTACGAACCCAAGGAACCGTATTACTGTTGGTCATACTTAAACTGTTTATTTCCTTAAGTATATGACCCACAAGGATGTGAAATAACTACAAGAAACTGTTTTTGTACACTGTACATCCTTAGTATTTTTACACGTATATGATAGGGATGCACATTATTTTCCTTCGTACAGACAGCTTAAATAAAGCACTATGTCAATCTGCTACTTCTGTGTTTTTTAATGCTAATTTGTTCTGGAGGTTTGTAAATATATATATATGTTCAAGCTTGCCACAGAGGACGTATTTTTTTATATCTGCACATTACTATTAAATATCTTAGAGGTTAAAATTCTTAAGTTGTTCTGTGTCAGAGAAAGAAAAATGGAAATGAGAAGGTTATATTGCAGATTACAAAAGATTTCTCAAGTTTTGGATTAAATATTTACTTCATATTTTAAAGTAATTTTATATAGGTTAGATGTTTCAATTCTGAAATGCACAAAGAATTTACTTAATTTCTTCTTACAAGAAAATGTACATCATTATTTTTTTATCACTGTATATATAATGATCTGTGCATGTTTAGTTACAAGTTTTATTTGCTGTGAAGTCCTAGTGACTGTAACTCGCTGTGACGTATTTCAGATACTGGGTGAACAGTTTCAGCTTGTAAATGATTAAGTTACAGTATTGTCAAAAAAAGTTTTTATGACTAAGCAAAATGTATCTGTGCTTTGGACCTAGGCTGTTTCCATACAGGTGGTTCCTGTTAACTCTATGAGATGTGTGTCACTTAAGAAAGTAAATTGGGGTTATGCTTTTGAAGTAACAATTCTACAGGACTCTGCTCTGATCAGCACACCCACCGTTTATGTGATGAAATTCTTGGCATCATATCCCATAGCTAGGTGATGTATTTGGGCAAGGAGATGGAAAAAAGGGAATGTGGGATTTGCAGGGCGCTGCAGAATGGGACTCTTTGAAGCCCACAGGCTGGTCYGGGGCTGTTTGAACCAGCCTCTCTGGAGGGCTGAGTGTCCCTAAAGCAGTGGGTCATCTGGGTTTTAGCTGTTCTCTGATGTGAATGCTTCTCAGGAATAGAGRTGCTTCATCCAGGTCTCAGGTTTTTTCTTTTTTTTTATTTTTTTCCCCCTCCTTTTTTCCCCCTCCCCCATGTTGTAGTAGGAAAGAGCATCAGGGAGACAGTCATTCATTAGTTCAGTGATATCAGGATGTCAGTGACAGGCTGCATCCCATATTGCGGAATCATGCTCTGTGTGTTGACCTGCATTTGGTTGCAGGGTCTGATATTTGTAAACTTAGCAAAACGAATCATTTAGTGCTTAAATAGAAACAGGGGAAAGGTGGGGGAGGGATATGAGACAGGTAGATCTGCTRCTCTAAGGACTCATTAATTGCTACAGAGTATCTGCTGCAGGGGAAGTTATTCCTTCTAGACTCCCAGCAACATTATAGTTGCACCTATGCCTGGGATGAGCATGAAAAACCTACTTCCAGCTCTACTACTGGCAGCCCAGGACCCTTTGTAGAAATCAGACCCGTTGCGTGCACGTGGGTGGCTGGCAGTGTGCCCTGCATGTGGCCACCAGAAGCCCCCTGGTAGGTGAGGCAGGTCCAGAAAGGTTGAGGGTCCCGCTGTGCTCCAGGGTCTCAGTGAAGCCTAAGTGACAGGAATAGGTGCCCGAGTTCCTTTGCACGTGTAGCCTATAGGCGCTGTCTCCTATTTAAACACAGATTTATGCTGTGGTTTAATAAAAATAAATTTTAAAGTTTGCATTTTCCTACATTTATAAATGTATATTCTACCTGTGTAACCATTTATAAAGTAGTGACACTTAAAAAGCTGTCAGTCTAATTACTGTGAAAAATCCAGAGTTCCACTAGAGAGGGCTTTCCTTTAGCAGCCTTTCCTGTTCCTGAGGCCTTCCTCATGCTTAGTGTCATATCCGTGAAGCCGTTTGGGGAGGTGATCAGATGTGTTTGGCAGTTTCATATGGCAGGAAATTGAAATGGGAAGGAAAAATCACTTTGATGTTAGGGCTGTACCACTGATAATTCTTAAAATGTAAGGGAAGGAAAGATAGTGCTCCACATCCAATGGTAATTTATTGCATGTGCTGTTAATCTTATTTTTGTTACATTTTCTGTGTTCATGCCRGCTGAAGTAGCTTTATTGCTGGAGAACTGTTCTTTTTAATTCCCGCTCCCCCTCCCCCCCTTACCAACAACACTGAAAAAAATAGATGTAGAAACTTTTCTCTTGTGTGTGTAGCTTATCCTACACTAGACAGCAAAAGATTCAGACAAATTCTTTCTGAAACAGTCAGGTATTTGGAAAGTAACCTTGAAAAACAAGAGTGCACAATTAAGCAGAAAAAAAAGCTCTCCACCTGTACCCTCCAAATGTTTTGATTTTAGTAATTTGAAGCCAAGTTCAGCTGCTGCCCTGAATATGTGCTGGTGGAAAAGTCCAGCTTCACCACTTCAGTGTGGAGCCCAGCACCTCTTGTAATGGTTCCTCTGTAGTAACCAAGGGCTCCTTTCTCTTAAATGCTTTGTCCAGTGAATGTTTTAAAGGGGAACCTGACCCATGGAAATTCCTCCACAGTAGGTGGAGTACTTTTCAATCTTCTT